GTGTTGGAGGTGGGCGTAGCACCATGAGTGTGGTCAATTTATCAAGATCGCCAGGGAAGTAAAGAAAATAAAAGGGAGCACGACAAGTTGGGCACAAGTGATAATATACCTAACCTCAAGCAAATGGCTCCCCAAAAGAGGTCGTAATAGTGGGAATACAAGGTGGTTGTACTTACCTCAACATTGAGGCTCGAACGACTCTATTTGGTGGGACGAACGCCGCCCGGTGATTTCCCCGAAGCTGCGCAGGGTGAAGAGCCGTGTAAATAAGGATAAATAAGAAGATGGAGTAGGTGCTTACATGCTCGGCGCTTTGTAGAGTCCTGCGAAGGAGGTACGATGAACTCCTCATCGTTCTCATTATTGTAAGCTGCATCACGCTCGCACTGGGTTATGTGACTGATGACGTTGGCCGTCAAATCGTTAAAATATCAAACCTCTTTGGCGTTCCAGGCCAATTGGAATAATGGCGTTACTACGCCCTCTGTTGCGGTGAAGTGCTTAAAAACATTGGGAAGCAAGAAATCACAACACGCTTTCACATCCGCAATACCCTTCTCCAAGAGTGCTGCGAGCCGCAAGTATAGCCGTGGGTAGTTCTTTGAAAAGGCAAGAGGAATGGGCCATTGTTGTGCTAGGCCGAACTGACGTGAGGCAAAGTGGGGATTGTAGACCTTGATGCTGAGATCGGTCGAGGCTTCAGGAGCAAAGAGCATGTCTCTCACCACTATCCAGCGAGCCCATTCTTCCACATACCAATTATAGTCACCGAGGGAAGCGTCTCCTTCTAGCGGTTTTTGGTTGAAAGCAAGCCTGAACGAGGGAGGTCCAAACATCCGAGCTTCAAATGGAGTAAAGCTCTCGATGTCTCCGGCTTCGTAAAAAACCGGGAAGTATGTAGCAAAGTCCTTCTTCAGTGGGGGAGCTTTGGCGTAGTAATGGCCGTATGAAAAGATCGTGGTATCATGAGCCATGTCGGCGGGAGCAGGCAACGAGCCCCGTACCGCGAGAAAATAAGCATATAACCACAATTGCAGTAGCCAAAGGGGACCCGCGCCGGTGACTTGTCTGGCCTCAGTGGCTTTCTTGATTTGTTGAACAGTCAGGTACATACCTCAATAAAGGTGACATAACACCACTTCATCAAGGTTATCGCATTCCCCGACAGCAATTTGGTAGGTTGAATTGATCGCTTGCACTGATTGACCGCCGCCGGGATAGAGAATGAATTTATTCAGCCAGTAATGGATAAAGTAGGCTCGCTCCCCATCGGTGATCGGTGCCGCAGGGTCGGTTGGGGAATTGGTGTTGTAGAGCGAGCGGTAGGAGCGATCGAAAGGAATAGGGTTATCACGGCTGAAAGGGATTCTAGCGATGGTAGGAGAGCGATGACGGAAGAGGCCAGTTAACGCGATGACGTCGAGCATGGTTACTGTCATGGTTCCTAGTGGGAAGATGAAGCTATTGAATTCTGTGGACCAAAAACATATGGCAGCCTTGAAAAAATCGGCATCTGGTAGGGGAGGATGGGCACAAAGGGATAAGAAGCGATCTATGCCAGCATCCCTCCAAAGAGAGGTAGTGGTTTCATCAGCAAGTAGGCGACAATACCATCTCGCAAAATCTTGTCCAGAAAGAGCCCAGGAAGAGAGAGTTCGTTTCGGTTTCTGCTGGGCAAGGAACGGAGTCAGTGCGTGACGGAGGAGTAGCCTGGCTTGGGCAACAGGATAAACATCTAGCTTGTTTATGGTCTCATCGTCACGATCTGTTATGGGCATTACTATTCATCGCCCTAAGTTTTTAAATTCTATCGCCCTAAGCAATACGAATTTACAGAACTGCCCTTCATTTAATTTTATGGTTCTTTATCAGACAGCTTCGGTGATGGAAAAACGCAGAAAGTGAGCATCATTTAGCCAACAACCGAAACTTGGAAACCTGCAACAGAATCAAAACGAGTAGCCACAACCACCCACCGCAAAGTAAGAGCTAGAAAGACCAATACATCCAGACGGTGCCACAGTCAAAATCTATCGAAAGATTCACAAGAAACCGAGCATCCGTCGCAGTCCAAATTGAGCATCAGAACAACAATCAATCCATTGTATATAAGACACAACTCTAGATAAAGAACGCTAAGCTAACATCGGGAACCCTGCCTACAGCCTGCCGGCGACGGTTTTCAACCCGCATCGTTGGAGATACACCAAATATAATAAAAAATTAAGGACGGCAGCAAGCGGCGAGGGCAGCGAACAACGAAGACCGGTCTTCTTCAACAACGGCAGCAATGGCGACGTTTGGTCTTCTCGCCTCGATGGCCGGGTGCGATCGGTCGGAAGCAGAGGTCGGACATACAGGAGATGGCGACGAACCCATCCTTCCTATTTCGGTGGCGTTCTTCTCGTCGGGAAGAGAGCATACGACGGCGGCGAGTTTTCGTCGAGAGGTGCGGGAAAGTTAGGTCGGCGGCTTTGATGGGGAGAGGAGAAAGGGCGTTAGGATATTTTGTGGCCAGGGGCAAAATTGTCTCTTTATGTAAGTTTAGGGCGATAAATTCAAATATTTAGGGCGACGAATAGAAATTCAGTGGCGGGCGGATTATATAATCATATAAAAAAGAAAAAAAAATCGTTTTGGCCAAAACAATAGTGTGGACCAGCCGTGTGTGTGTCAAAATTGTCGAGGCTACAAATGCTGAACGCGCGGCAACGTTGCTGGCAGAGGAAAACGTAGGGTTTCTAAGGACAATGGAATTGTTGTGTTAAAGGGTTTTAGTGACGTGATCAGTCTTTCTTTGGGCCAAAACTTATCAAAAGAGAAGGTAAAGGAACTAGAGCAGAGTCGTTGGTAATTTGGAGGCGCCAAACATATATGGGAGTATTTGCGGTACTGGGGGGAGACTGGGGCAAGTAGGGTTGCAATAGTGATGGTTTGGCGACTGCGGAGGGCTCGAGGCAGCATGGCATGTCGTGCCAAGGATGGTGGTAAGTTAAATTTTGCAATTCTAGTTTCATTATGGACACTAAGTTAATTGAGATTATTTTAGGTGTTTTATTTTATGTCAACAATTTGGTTCATAATTCTTATAAACCAAATTGTGGGGGGCATTTGTTGACACCTAAAATTAATTTGGTCGAAATTAAATGCCGCATTAATTAGTCTCGGCATTTAATTCGATACCGCGGGTAAAAAGCGGTGTCGTTTGGAGTCAAGCGGCGTCGCGGAGAGTTAATACGATACCGCGAAACAGAAAAAAGGTACCGCAAGGAAGCTACGCGGTACCGCGGCACTGGAAACGACACCGCTTACCGAAAAACAAAAGGGGCCGCGCGTTTAGTGTGGGTGTTGGGGAAGGAGTTTTTTTTCTTCTAATTAATTATTATTTTTATTCCTTGTTGGAAGGGGAAAAGAGGTACCGCATGGGGACAAGCGGCATCACGGAGAGTTAAAACGGTACCGCAGATTTAAAAACGATGCCGCGGGAGACTTTAGATATGGTTTTACAATTTTTTGTTTTTCTGGACATAGATCGATGCTAGGGTTGGAGCAACAGGTAAAGCCTGATTTAACCACAATTGAACTACAATTTTAGCACAAAATACCCTAATGCTAACTTTACTGGTATAACATTCGGTATGGTTTTCCAATTTTAGGTTTTTTCTTAACATAAATCGAGGCTCGGGTTGTAGCAATGTGTCTAGCCTGATTTAATCACGGTTGGACTACGATTGTACCGTACTGGTCGTCCAATAGAAAAACTCCTAACGGAATCTACTTGGTACGTGATTTTAGCTGTATGAAATTATTTAACACGACTGAACTACAATTTCAACACAAAATTACATAATGCTAAAGTTTTCGATATGACCTTTGGTATTGTTTTACAATTTTTGATTTATTCTGAACATGCATCGAGGATCGGGTTGAAGCAACGATTTTAGTAAAAAACACCATAATGTTAACTTTACCGGTACAACCTTCGATATGGTTTCACAACTTAATTTTTTTTCAAAACATAAATAGAGACTCAGGTTGGAACAACGTGTAAAGCCTGATTTTAACCCCGATTGAACTAAGATTTTAGCACAAAATATTGTAATGCTAACTTTTCTGGTACGAACTTAGGTTATGGTTTTACAATTTTTGGTTTTTGTGAACATAAATCGAGGCTCGGTTTGGAGCAACGTGTCAAGACTTATTTAAATATTTTTAACTACGATTTTAGCACAAAATACCCTTAAACTAACTTTTTCCGTATGCTTTCTTTAACATACACCGATACTCAGATTGAAGTAATATGCCAAGCCTACACCAACGGCCTTTTTCCGACTTCTGTTATCACATTAACAAAGGAACCACAAATATAAAACTCTAAAACATGTCCAACCATTGATGAGGCCGGCTCTCATCATGGATTAGCCAAAACCTAAAAGAAAAAAATAAATAATAATCAGCAACAGTCCAATAAAAAAATGGTTGTGAGCAAAACAAAACTTACCTGCCTGTCACATTCGTGCAGCCCTTATGCAACAGTAGGCTAATTATCATAAATGATCATAAACCTATTCACTTTGTACAAAATAGTCACAAACCTTCAATTTTGCACGTTTCAGTAATAAAAGTTTGAGTGAATAACGAATTGGTCAATCCGTCCACTTCCATCCAAAATTCCGTTAACTCTTACCTAGTCAGCGTGACACGTCATTAACCTAACGACCAATCACAAGTATTGGACCACCACCGTACCATCTCTCTATCCCACCATTCCAAAAAATTTCTTTTTCGCTGCCATATCCCCAGTCGCCATTCCCAGAAGAGGAGGTGGAAGAAGATTATTAGCACTAAAATTAACAGTGACCCTGTGCTGAAGCTGCTACAATCTTCTTCATTCCCTCTCTATTCCTTCCCTCTGCATTCTCTCTTTCTATACATCTCTCCCAATTTCGGCCGGCTCCGTCCTATTTTTAAACTCCAATTGCTCCGATCTCCATCCACGAATGAAGGAAATAAACAGAGGAATTGCTGACGACGAGGGATTCGTGAATCGGGAAGAGAAGCATTTCACCATTTTCAAAACCTCGTTGCTCTATGCCAATGACGGATTCACCGTGTACGATTGCAGCAACGACGAGTTGGTCTTCCGGGTCGACTTGTGCGAGCCCGACGCCCGGGACAGAGACGAGCTCGTCCTCATGGGTCCCCACGGCCGCTGTGTGAGAGACACGATGTGAGAGGGGCCGCTCGGCCTAGAGGGGGTATTTGGGGGTATTTGGGTAATTTGTCATTATTAGAGAGGGGGAACTATTTAAGCTACAGTCTTTGTTATTTTGAGGAATCAAGCAGAATATCAAAATCCCTAAACCTAATTCCTCATCTCTTCTTCAATTCTCATCTCAAATTCCCAATTCTCAACCCTAATTCTTCTATTCTCAACCCTAATTTCTGATTCGATTATCCGTGTTTCTCACAATTGGTATCAGAGCCTGTCGATATGAGTTCTCAAGGACTCTCCGATAGGGACCACGAGCTCGCGCTCGATGCGCGTTTACGGGACGTTCTCGACCGGTTGGAGCGCGTAGCCGCCGACTGGCGGCGAAGGGGCGACGCGGTGGAAGGGCCGAGCTCCGCTGGCCCAGCGGTGCCGCCAGCAGCGTCGCGGCGGGGGTCGCTCGAGCAGGAGCAGGCCGCGTCTGTCGCGGCGAGTGCGACGCGCGACGCGACGTCGGGGAGAGCGCTCGGCGCGCTGGGTGGGCCTGGCTCGTCGCGGCTGAACGAGGAGGAGGAGAGGTCCTCGGCGGCGGCAGCAGCTCTGCAGGCGAAGGAGGGCGGCGCCGAGCTGGAGGTCATCTCCGCGGTGGCCGCCGGCGTGACCGCGGGTTCGCCTACTCTGCGTTTCAGGGCGCAGGTGGCAGGGGAGTGGGGAGTGGCCTTGGTCGACAGCGGGGCTTCTCTCAACTTTGTTGGGGCAGAGTTTGTACGCCGATTACCCACATCACAGGTGACAATCGTCCCATTCGAGGTGAAGGTGGCCAATGGGGCGCCGCTGCAGTGCACCGGGAAGCTGGCAGGAGTGACAGTGATGATTCAAGGGCTGCAGGTCCCTCTTGACTTGTACGTCCTACCCTTGCAGGGCTTCGACATCATTTTGGGCATGCCTTGGCTGAAGAGTTTGGGACCGGTGACGAGCGACTGGGTGAAGATGGTTATGAGGTTCAAATGGAGGGACAAGGACTGGGAACTCCAGGGGTTGACCACGGCAACTGGGCCGGTGGAGTGGGGTGACCCGCAACTGGAGGAGGAGGCCGAGCTAGCTGTGCTCTGTTGGCCACTGGGGTCTGCCGATCCGCAGCCGTTAGCCCCAGACTTACAGGCATTGCTGGACCGGTACGAGGAGCTCTTTGGGCAGCCGAACCAGCTTCCTCCACAGCGCCAGGTGGACCATCGGATTCGGCTGAAGGAGGGCACGGACGCAGTTAACGTTCGCCCCTACCGGTATGCACATAACCAGAAGGCCGAGATCGAGAGGCAGGTGGAGGAGATGATGACAGCCGGGCTGATTCGGGCAAGTTCCAGCCCGTTTTCTTCGCCGGTGTTGCTGGTGAAGAAGAAGGATGGCACCTGGCGGTTTTGTACAGACTACCGAGCACTCAACACCGCTACTGTCCGAGACCGTTTTCCCATTCCCACGGTGGATGACATGCTCGACGAGCTACGGGGTGCCCAGTACTTTACCAAGCTCGATCTGCGGGCAGGGTACCACCAGATACGCATGCACGAGGAGGACATTCCTAAGACGGCTTTTCGGACGCATAGTGGCCATTACGAGTACCTGGTCATGCCGTTCGGACTCTGTAATGCACCATCGACATTCCAGGCCGCCATGAACGACATTTTTCGGCCTTTGCTCCGCAGGTCAGTCTTGGTATTCTTTGATGATATTCTGGTTTTCAGTAAGACTTGGGGAGAGCACATGCAGCATTTGCAGGAGGTGTTTGAGATATTACGGAGCAACCAGTTTTATGTGAAGGCTTCGAAGTGTGCCTTTGGGGTCCAGTCAGTGGACTATTTGGGCCATGTTATTTCAGGTGACGGAGTTAGAGTGGATCCGTTGAAGATTCAGTCCATGATGGACTGGCCGGCGCCGAAGTCGGCAACAGAGCTGCGGGGTTTCCTCGGTCTTACTGGCTACTACAGGCGGTTCGTGAAGGGGTACAGTTCTATAGCCGGTCCGTTGAATGCCTTGCTGAAGAAGGGGGGATTTAGCTGGAATCCCCAAGCAGAGCGAGCTTTTGTGGAGCTCAAGGCCGCCCTCTCATCGACACCAGTTCTGGCCTTACCGGACTTCTCTCAGCCTTTTGACATCGAGACTGACGCCTCTGGCCGGGGAATTGGGGCGGTTCTCTCACAGGAGAGGCATCCCATCGCCTTCATGAGCCGTACCCTCCCTCCATCTAAGGAGGCTTGGTCCACCTACCAGAAGGAGATGCACGCCATTACTGAGGCGGTCCAGATGTGGAGACCCTACTTGATCGGTCAGAAGATCCGGATCTACACCGATCATCAGAGTCTCAAGCACTTGATGGACCAGAGGGTGTCCACCCCAGACCAGCATAAGTGGGTGGTGAAGTTGATGGGATACGACTATGAGTTGCACTATCGACCAGGGCCGATGAACAAGGCCGCGGATGCCCTCTCGCGGGTGGAGTGGAGGCCGCAGGTGGCAGCAGTGACAGGGCCGGTGGTGTTGTTCTGGGAGGAGGTTAGAAGGGCGGTGGAGGCGAGTCCGTTCCTGCAGGAGCGCCGGGATATCGCTCTCAGTCAGACACCTGGTAACTATACCTTCAGGCACGGATTGGTGTTTCACCGGGGTCGCGTGGTTCTACCTCCGGCCACCTCCCTCACGACGACTGTGATGAGGGAATTTCACGATTCGCCGGTGGGCGGCCATTCGGGGTACGAGAGGACCTTGAGGAAGATTCGCGGTCATTTCTACTGGCCACAGATGACCCGAGAGGTCAAGGATTACGTTGCATCCTGTGACACCTGTCAGCGGGTCAAGGCGTCCCAGCTGAGGCCAGCCGGACTACTTCAGCCACTGCCAGTGCCAGAGCGGGTATGGGAAGATATTAGCATGGACTTCATCGTGGGTCTTCCGCCATCAGGTGGAAAGACAGTTCTTTTGGTGGTGGTGGATCGCCTCACCAAATACGCACATTTCATGGCCCTAGCCCATCCGTATACTGCCCGGAGTGTAGCAGAGCAGTTTGTCTGGGGGGTCATTCGGCACCACGGGTTTCCCCGCTCGATAGTAAGTGATCGTGATGCATTATTCCTGGGCAGGTTCTGGAAGGAGGTGTTCGCCTTGGCGAAAACGGAGCTGAAGATGAGCTCGGCATATCATCCCCAGACAGATGGGCAGACTGAGGTGGTGAACAAGATACTGGAGCAGTACCTGCGGTGTTTTGCTCACCAGCAGCCGCGCCGTTGGCTCGCTATGCTGCCATGGGCTGAGCTGTGGTATAATACCACATACCACCGATCTATCCAGATGTCTCCCTTCGAGGCTCTCTACGGGAGGACGCCACCGATGCTGGTCCGGTACCAGTCAGGGGCGAGTGCAGTGGATGTGGTGGACAGGTGGTTGGCGGACCGGGATGAGGCACTGCAACAGTTGAAGGCCAATTTGGCCGCTTCCAACAACAGGTCGAAGCAGCAGGCGGACTCCGGGAGGCGAGACGAGGAGTTTTCAGTGGGCGATTGGGTCCTACTCAGGCTGCACCCTTACCGGCAGACGTCAGTGTTCAAGAGAGCTTACCAGAAGCTCGCGGCCCGATATTTTGGGCCGTACCAGGTGCTGGAGCGGATCGGAGCCGTGGCGTACAGGTTGCAGCTCCCGGATGCATCTCGGATTCACCCGACTTTTCATGTCTCACTTCTGCGCAGGTACCGAGGAGTAGCACCGTCTGACCCACCACCCGATCCGCCGGTGAACGAGAATGGCGCGTTGGAGCTGGAGCCCGAGGCTGTGTTGGATGTCCGCTGGCCCCTCCGTGGCAAGAGGCGGGTCTCCGAGAGCTTGATTCAGTGGAGGCACTTGGCGCCGGAAGAGGCTACTTGGGAGGACACGGAGACTATTCGTCAGACCTATCCGGCCTTCGATCTTGAGGACAAGCTCGGTCTGGAAGAAGGGGGGAGTGTGAGAGACACGATGTGAGAGGGGCCGCTCGGCCTAGAGGGGGTATTTGGGGGTATTTGGGTAATTTGTCATTATTAGAGAGGGGGAACTATTTAAGCTACAGTCTTTGTTATTTTGAGGAATCAAGCAGAATATCAAAATCCCTAAACCTAATTCCTCATCTCTTCTTCAATTCTCATCTCAAATTCCCAATTCTCAACCCTAATTCTTCTATTCTCAACCCTAATTTCTGATTCGATTATCCGTGTTTCTCACACGCTGCTTAATCACTTTCCGAAAGAAGGTAAACCAATACAAGAACAATACACACTCTAAGTATCTCATTACCGAGTCAGGACCTTCCGAATCAATTTTCTTTATTTCCCCTCTGTTTTTCGGTTGGCAGAGTCGAGTCTGCATCAGCGGTGGGAAGGATTTCTGGGGGAGAGGAAGGAAGGGCAGAAGGCAATGTTCATCGTGAGACGGTCTTCAATAATCGCACACTCAGGGATGAGCGTGCAGGTGTACAAGAACCCAGGGGAGGAGTATGAGATCGAAGGGAGCTGCTGGAGCCGAAGCTGTACGGTGATCGACGCGGCGAGGAGAGCGGTCGTGCGGAGATCCGGCGGAAGGTTGACGCGTCGACGAACATGGTGCTGGGGAAGGACGTGTTATCGTTGGCGGTGAAGCCTGGGTTCGACGGGGCATTCGCCATGGGATTGGTGCTTGTTCTCGATCAGATCTGCGGCGGTGCTGTTGTTGAGGATGATGGCGGTGATGGTTTCGGTAATTCGAGATGGGTTGGGCGGGTTAATTGGTATCTTTACTCATTTTCTTATTAATATTTTTAATGATGTGTTAGGCTGATTAGGCAAGAGTTAACGAAATTTTGGATGGAAGTGGACGGATCGACCAATTTGTTATTCACCGAAACTTTTGTAACTGAAATGTGCAAAATTGAAGGTTTATGACCATTTTGTACAAAGTGAATAGGTTTATGACCATTTATGATAATTACCATGCAACAGTAGACACTTTCTAACTTTAATCATATTCATGTACAATTGTACATGGATATTTTGGGGGAAAATCCTACAAGAGGTGGAGATGCGGGTATCGTCATATGTGCCTTCCCCTCGTATCTTCCTGCTCAACGGACCAATTTTTGCTTTCGTTTCCCTAGTTCCTTCTCTTCAGACTTCAATCATCTCTTCTGCTGTCGCCGCAGGCAGCAAATGAAAGCAATGATGATGAGAAGCAGTCGGCGTCTGGTTGAACGCCAGTTCTCTCGAATCAAAGCTCTCCCTTTCTCAAGCCAAACCCAACCCAGATCAATGACGAAGAGCGCGTCGCTTTCATCACTCCCCAACAAAACCCTCCTTAAACCCTTTTCCCCTTCTTCTTGTCTCTCTCCTTGCTCTCTGATAAAACGACTCACCGCGAGCTCTGATTTTCCTCCTGTACACCTTCCTCCTCGGTTCCTGACCACCACCAGCAGCTCCGCCGAGAGCGAAGGAAGTGACGGAGGTGGACGAGAAGACTCCGACGACCCAATTTCCTGTAATCCTTCCCCTGCTCGGGTTTTTGAGGCATTAGTTACTTAGTTGAGATGTTTGCGTCTGTTTTTTTCTGCTGTAATACATTGCTGGTCAAGTGTTCGATGAAAGTCCTGACTTAACAAGTGGTCGGAATTTTTTGTCAGTTTGTTTGTGTGCCAGGAAGAGGAAATTTCAGAATTAGCAAAATTCCCGTGTCATGATTCAGTTGTTCTCTCGTTCTGCAGATGAAACGGCCAACGAGGGAGAATCGGATGATGGATGGGAGGAGGAAGAAGAAGAAGCTGAACCCAAGGTTTGAAAAATGTTTCATTTACATTCTCATTTCCTGCCCTATCAGTTTTCTTCTTGGTTGCTCATCTATGAATTGGTTCTTAGCGGTTCATATTTTCATGAACTGTAGGTGGGGGACGGCGGGTCAGGTGGTGGCATTGTGTTTCAAGGTGTTCCATGGGGAGAAAGAACTCTCGCCATTGCTCGTGAGGTCTTGGCGCAATTTGGTGTAGAGGACCTTGAACTCTTCTCTTTCAAGACCACCCCTCGTGGATATGTATACGTGAGACTTGATAAAATGTCAAACCAGTAAGTTCCCTTATTTGGATAACTAACAACAAAAAGCTGTGTCATTTTCCAATTTGCATAGTTTGTACGTTGAACGTTGATTGGTATTTGGTTGAGAAAAGGGAAACCCACCTAAATTTTTTTGTGCTAGATATGGTTGCCCCAGTTTTGAGGAACTTGAGGATTATTGTCGAGAGTACAATAAGAGATTGGAGGAAGTTGGAGCCCTCGGAGAAATCCCTGATAAACTGGCTGTTGAGGTAAGCCAGAAACGCTAAAGGCTGGTTCTTTAATTTACTAACTCTCCCCTTTTTTTATCATCTCTCTAAATTCAACTTCTTGTGATTAGCCGGAGGGGTAGTTCTTATTTTTGGTAGGTAGAATCATCCAAATGTAATTATCTTGATTAATCCAAGAGCGTGGGTTAACAGTCGCTATAGACAGTACATAAGTACGAGAGGCACGACGGTAGTTGGTCTCTCAATCATGTGCAAGTGGAGCTGGAGACTATGTCGGTGAAGCTGGAGAGCGTCTCGAACTCCACTCGCAAAGGATTGAGAGAAGCAGCTATCATCGTGGATGGCTTGCTCCATTAACTACCTGTTATAGCCATTGCCAACTCGCTATGTTGGACTAGCCAAGAAGAGAACTATATCTAAGATGATTCTACTCGCCAGAAAGCTTCCTTTCATATAAAAGCATAGTCAATCCAATCACGAACAATCTAACCCAAACTTGATCAAATCAGGTGAAGCCAGTTTTGGATGGGACCTGACCATGCACTGCCCTAATTGTTTCTACAGCCAGTATGATAGTGTTCCTGCTTTTCAGGTATCCTCTCCAGGTGCAGATAGACTGCTGAAGATGCCTGAAGATCTAAACCGATTCAAAGATATGGCGATGAACGTGTCGTACTGGGAAGGCGAGGAGTCAAATCAAGGGGAAAAGAATGGAGTATTCTTCCTGGAGTCCGTAGAACCAGAAACAGAGAGCTGTGTGTGGAAGTTGGCTGATGTGAAGGAAAATAGGGACCCTCAAAGCAAAGGCAGGCCTTTAAACCGTAAGCGGAGGGACTGGAGGTTGATTTTGCCCTTCAGAATGCATAATAGGGTTACTTTGTATCTTGAATTCTGACAATCAAATGATTAGTAGTATCACTTTCACACATTCATACTATTTCATGTGTTATGACCTTGACCCAATTAGATGGACGCTCTCTGGTCAAGAACAAACAACAAAATCACATAATTTTTTTTTTTTGCAAGAGACATTCCGAAAGGAATAGCAAGGTACGAGAATATACAAGACCAAAAGGTCAGGACAAAGAAAAGAGAGCAAAATGATGGTCAACGAGATGCTGATCCATCGATGAGAGGGCCTTTTTCGTCACGGTATGGGCAGCCCTGTTATACCTACGCAGGGCGAAATGAAACGAAGCACGCGAGAGAGATGTTCGCAACACCTGAACCTCCTTCAGAATGGCACCTCCCAAAGCGTGAGCCGAGTCATTCGCAGCAACCATCGGGAGAACGACCTGCGCATCACCACAGAACAGGACATTAGTAAGTGAATGAGAGAGGCACCAACGCATGGCATCACGGAGAGCCATTAACTCAATGAGAAAAGGATTGGCAACTTCTGTATAAAACCGGCCCAGAGCGAAGGAGATTGTTTGGGGGGCTGTAAAACCCACAAATCCATTGGCTCCACCCGTCGAAGCTTTCGTCGCACCATCGAAGTGAACTAGAACATGCCCTTCTGGGATGGGTGGCGGGTAGAGCTGTCAAAAGGTAACCCGACCCGAGTAACCCGCCCGATCAACCCGACCCGCAACCTGCCCACAATCCGATTTGACTAAAAGTCAATGACCCGTAACCCGCCCGACCCGCAACCTGATCAACCCGCAACCCGACCAACCTGCAACCCGACCGACCCGAAACCCGATCGACCTGAAATCCGATCAACCAGCAACCCGATCAACCCGCAACCCGATTAACCCGTAACCCGACCAACCCGCAACCCGACTAACCCAAACTCGTAACCCGACCAACCCGCAGCTCGACTATAATAGAAGGAATTCGATGAAGATAAACCAAAAGTTGACATTTGAAATTCTAGTTCACTAAAGTCTAATCATTACATCATCAATTATTAACTTAGTATAATAATATACATCATCAACCTATTAACGCATGTAATATCATCAAATATTTATTTAGATACATCATCAACCTAACAGTGCACATAACATTATAAAATATTAATTTAGCATAATAAGATAATTATAAGATTTAAGTTGCTTATTTTAGTACACATAACTACTTGCTTATTTTAGTTGGTGTATAGGGTATATAATTAGTGTAATGGTTAGGATATAAGGTATTAAAATTTTAGGCACGAAATAATAACTTAGAACTAATAAGGATCAAGTTTTTTATTACACGTGTTCAATCAAATCATTAGGGGTTTAGGGTATATACACTATAGAGTCGATGTATAGGGTATATGGTTAGTCTAATGAATTAGGGTATAAAGTATTAATGATTTAACAATTATTAGTCAAAATCATAACTAATAAAATCAACTTTTCTTATTAACACTTGTTCATCAATCAAAATTCAGATTATTAGGGGTATAGGGTATAGGTTATAGAGTCGGCTTATAGGGTATATGGTTAGGGTATAAAGTCTTAATGATTTGACCACGGTTAGTCAAAATCATAACTCATAAGATCAACTTTTCTTATTAACATATGTTCATGAATCAAACCAGTAGGGGTTTAGGGTATAGGTTATAGAGTCGACTTGTAGGGTATATGGTTAGAGTATATGGTATTAATGGTTTGGCCATGATTAGTCAAAATCATAACTAATTATAAGATCAAGTTTTCTTATTAATAAATGTTCATGAATCCACTACAAGAAAACCATCCTATAGAAGCAAATAATTAGAGGCAATTGTTGTAGTGGTCTCTATAGCTAAGGTTTAGGGGCAAATATATTATTTTTCTCAATAGGGGAATTTTTTTGTCTCTACAGGCAAATCTAATAGTCTTTAGAGACAATTACAAATGTTGCTTATAGTTATGTCATATAGAGACAAATTTAATAGTCTTTATATGCAAATATAAATGCTCTTTATTTATTTATATATATATATATATATATATATATACATCTCTTATAGACGCAAATATAATAGTATCTAGCACTACAGAAAAATTGGTCTCTAGTCACGGTAATTTATTCACGGGGATGTTTGTCGTATTAAGAAGTACACTAACAGTCACTAGAAAAAATACAATAGTTAATGGTATAAGTTTAGTCACGGGAATTAGTTGATCTATTCTTCAAGTTTCATTTCCCATAACTAATGGTTAGTCACCGTTAATTACCGTAAACAATGTGCACTTTACCTTTAAAAAAAACGTTTCCTAAAATCTAAGAGGGAAATCTCAAATTTCCATCCTCCTTTAGTTTTGGCTCCAAGCAAGACTAGAGAAAATTTCCCGCTTTTTTTTCAACAAAAATTTGGCCTTCCCCCATTTTTACCACAATTTTCGTATAAGGAAAACCATTTGGTTTGGCTCCAAACTCACCCCAACGGAGAAAATTTTCCCCGCCCTTTATTCCAAAACTTTTGTATTCCCCCATTACTTTGCCACTTTTCTATTACAACAAAAACTAAAACAGAGATAAATCCCTAACTTCTCTTTCGTGTTCTCAATCGTCTGTTCTTCTTCAGTGAGAAATTGAGCCAAACCCGCCGCCGCACCGTAAGAAGAAGGAGGTATGGAGAAGCTGCTAGGTCAAGCAGCTGGAATGATTGGAGGGGAAAAAACTCAGAGAAGCATCTTGCTCTCTGTTTTCTATTTATACCACCAAGTGTTCAGAACAGTAAAAACGGAAATGAGTAAAACTGTAATTTGAAAAAGAAATTAACTGTGCCTTTACACGTGGCACTTAACGATTCTGTAACTTCTAACGGCTAGCTAACAGTAAAGGTAAAGGCATCCTCTGTTCTTCATTTCTGCACTTCCTTTCCCTTGTTCTTCGAGACTGCTAGCACACCTTGAGCTCCATTCATCTGCTCTGTTACTCCCCCGCAAGTTGGCGAGTGCATATCCAAAACTCCCAACTTGTCAAGCAAGGATTTCAAACGATAGCGTGTCATCCCCTTTGTAAACAGGTCTGCAAGTTGATCATCTGTTCTTACGTACTCCAATTTGATCAAACCAGATTTCAATCTCTCCCTCGTAATGTGACAATCAATCTCGATGTGTTTTGTCCTTTCATGAAACACAGGATTCTCAGCTATATGGATAGCTAACTTGTTATCACAGTAAACCTGAATTGGTAAGGGAATTTTCACATCCATCTCTGCAAGCAATCCTCTAAGCCACTGCAATTCACAAACCAAATGTGCAAGTGCCCTGTATTCAGCTTCAGAAGATGACCTGGAAACAGTTGTCTGCTTCTTAGACTTCCAGGTTATCAAATTGTCACCAAGCAATGTGCAATAACCAGTAATTGATCTTCTTGTATCAGGGCAACTAGCCCAATCTGAATCTGAAAATCCACTTAGCTTCAACTCAGAATCAGCTTTAAAAAGTAATCCTTGTCCTGGAGCATGTTTTAAGTACCTTAAGATCCTGTAAGCAGCTTGTAGATGCTCACTATATGGATCCTTTTGGAATTGGCACAGCTGCTGTATGGCAAATGTTAGGTCGGGTCTAGTAATAGTAAGGTAATGTAGCCTTCCTACTAACCTCTTGTAGACTTCTGGATTTGGTAAGGGCTCTCCCTGCTTAGCAACAAGTTTCAGCTTGTAATCGATTGGTGCCAGACAATCCTTTGCCTCCAAGTAACCAGTATCCTCCAGCAGCTCTATGCAGTACTTTCTTTGATTGACATGAATCCCTTTGCAGTCTCTGTACACTTCCAGTCCAAGGAAAAACTTCAAATCACCAAGGTCTTTTACCTTGAATTCTCTTCCCAAGAACAACTTGAGCTGTTCTATATCTCCCAAGGAGCTTCCTGCTATTAGTATGTCATCAACATACACTAGAACAACCAGAATTCTTCCTTGAACCCTTTTAACAAACATCGAATAGTCAGAAGCTGCTTGAGTAAAACCATTCTTCAGTAAGGAGCTGGCTAACTTGGCAAACCATTGTCTGCTAGCCTGCTTTAATCCATAAAGGGATTTCTTCAGCTTCAAAACCATCTTGTTATCAGGTAGTTTCATACCTGGTGGAGGTTTCATGTAAACTTCCTCATTAAGCTCTCCATGAAGGAAAGCATTTGATACATCCATCTGATGTATGAGCCAGTCATTGGCAGCTGCTACTGCCAGTAATACTTTTACAGAATTGATCTTGGCAACTCGTGAGAATGTGTCCAGAAAATCTATGCCATAGATCTGTGTAAAGCCTTTAGCCACTAGCCTAGCTTTGAACCTTTCTATAGTCCCATCTGCTCTAAGCTTCACTTTATACACCCACTTACATCCAATGGCCTTCTTACCTGCTGGGAGATAGGCTGGTTCCCAAGTCTGATTTGCTTCAAGTGCATCAGATTCATCTTTCATAGCTTCTCTCCAACACAATTCTTTGCAAGCTTCTTCATAAGACCTTGGCTCTATAACAGCCATTGCATATATTTCTTGTGTGCAGGTGGTAAATTTTCAAAAGTAACATAATTGGCCATGGAGTACTTCTGAGCTGCTCCCACTTTGTAATCCTTATGCCAAACTGGCACAGTTTTGTGCCTATCAGACTTTCTCAACTCAGGGCCAATTCCTTCTCCATCTTCAACATCTAGTTGTTCAACTAATTCATCATCAGGGTCACCCCCTTCAGAGTTCACTCCTGGAGACTCAACTGCTTCATGAACTGAGGTGTGAGGCAATGTGTATGGGGAAGGAGAAGAAGGAAAAGAAGGTGATGAAATAGATGGTGAATAATCAGAAGAGGTGGAAGGAGATGAAGTCTGAGTTGGTGGAAAGAATGATGGAAAGTGAATAGAAGTTTGAGGAACATCAGGGAAAAGAGGGGCAGTAGATGGAGAAGGATCAGGTGGTTGTGAAGAAGAGGAAGTAGAGGGATTTAGAAAGGGAAATATGGTTTCATAGAAAACCACATTCCTAGAAACAAAAGTTTGATGTGTGTTGAGATCCAACAATTTGTAACCCTTGATTCCAGTGGGGAATCCAAGGAAGACACACTGCCT